CACACCTGCTTGTTTCTTGGGTCCATTTGCTTGATAAGCCTTTTCCCAGCCCTTTACTCTGAGTAGGTGCCTGTCTTTGTGGTTGAGGTGTGTTTCTTGTAAACAGCAGAATGTTGGATCCTGTTTTCTTATCCAATCTCTTAGCCTGTGCCTTTTTATAGGTGAGTTGAGTCCATTGACATTAAGTGATATTAATGACCAGTGGTTGTTAACTCCGGTCACTTTTTTAGTAGTAGAGTTTGTGTGTTTCCCTTCTTTGAGTTGTTCTGGTGAAGGGTCTCCAGATGTTTGAGTTATTGTGGTCATTGTTGGACTCCTTGTTTTGTGATTTTCTTTCTATTACTTTCTGTAAGGCTGGATTTGTGGTAACGTATTGTTTGAATTTATTTTTATCCTGGAAAATTTTGATTTCTCCATTTATAGTGAACAAAAGCTTGGCTGGGTATAGTAGTCTGGGCTTGCATCCATGGTCTCTTAGTTTCTGACGTACATCTATCCAGGACCTTCTGGCTTTCATGGTTTCCATAGAGAAGTCAGGTGTAAGTCTGATAGGTTTACCCTTATAAGTAACTTGACCCTTTTCCTTTGCAGCTCTTAATATTCTTTCTTTATTCTGTATGTTTTGTGTTTTGATTATTAAATGATGAGGAGATGTTTTTTTTTTTTGGTCCTGTCTATTCGGTGTTCTGTATGCTTCTTGAACCTTCAAAGGAATATCTTTCTTTAGGTTGGGAATGTTTTCTTCTATAATTTTATTAAATATATTTTCTGGACCGTTGAGCTGTACTTCTTCTCCTTCTTCTATCCCAATTATTCTTAGGTTTGGTCTTTTTATTGTGTCCCAGATTTCCTGAATGTTTTGTGATGAGGATTTGTTGGTTTTGCTGTTTTCTTTGATCAGTGTGTTTATTTTCTCTATGGTATCTTCAGTGTCTGACATTCTTTCTTCTATCTCTTGTAATCTGTTGTTAGTACTTGTCTCTGTAGTTCCTGTTCATTTACCCAGATTTTCCATTTCCATTCTTCCCTCGCTTTGTATTTTCTTCATTCCTTCCATCTCATTCTTCAAGTCTTGAACCGCTTCCCTAACCTGTTTGATTGCTTTTTCTTGGTTCTCTTGGTTTTCTTGTGTGTCTTTGAGTGATTTATTCATTTCCTCTACCTGTTTGTTTGTAATCTCTAATTGTTTATGGCAGTTTTTCACTTCCTGTTTTAGGTCCTCTATTATTTTCATATAGTTCACTTTTGAGTCGATTTCTTCTATTTCTTCTGGAGTAGGGTGTACAATTCTTCTTATTTCGGGATCCCTGGATTATGGTGGTGTCATGTTGCCTTTCAGGTTGTAGGAGGAATTCTTGCCTTGGCGCCTTCCCATCTCTTCCTTCAAATGGAGCCAGGAGAGGCCTGGTGTCTTGGTCCAGTCTCTCCTGTGATTGACTCTCTGGGTGTATCTCTTCAGTGTAGAAGCAGGAACCGTTCCCGCTCAGATGGGATTCCTCAGCAATTAAACAGGGCCGCTAGGTAGCCCAATGATCCGGGGGCAAAAGGATGAATGGAGCAAGGGGGGGGCGATATCCAGAAGAGCACAGGAAGCCTGGCGCCGGAGCTGAAGGTGCCCAGGCTCCCTTACAGGGTACCCTGAGGCCTGCCCGGTAGGCAGGCACTCACCGCTCTGGGTGGGTAGCCTTAGTGTAGGAGCTTAAAACTGTTCTTGAGCACTGGTCCTAGCATACAGCAGGGCAGGGTTGGGGTGGGGTGCTGGGGAGCTGGGTCGTGCAAAAGAAAGACAGCCCTGCAGAAGGAGCTGGGGGAGGGGGGTTTGTGCTCTCTTCCCGGACAGTCCGCCCCTGGATAGCACACACTCACCCGTCCAGATGGAATTAAGTGGCAGCCTTTTTGAAGGGAGAGAGACCACGCCCCAATGGGCTGGTATCTCAGCAGCTATAGGCTGGAGGAGTGGAAGGACCTCCCGCAACAGAACCTGGTGAGGTGAGAGCAGAGTCTGAACTTACCCGCTGATGGAGAGAGCAGGGAGTGGGAGAGAGGAAGGGGTTTCTTGGAGAATTCTTCTAGCCCCTCCTACTATTAATTTTTTGACTATTCTGTGGAGGCCTTTAAAATACTAGAAAGAGAGAAGCATATTCAAACCTTTGAACTATTCTAAAAATGTATTACCTTTCAGCTAGGAAAGAAAGTATTATATACAAACTGGAGCATGTATGGACTGGTTGCTTAGCACAGTTACTGAGTTTTACAGCATTAGGTAGGAGGGAAGCTTTTTAGTAGCCTTCAACCTTCTGGAACCATGTCCAGATTCCTCCCAGAAGGCCAGTGAATTTTTCTGATTTGTATCTTTGTATTCAACGTTCAGTTTAGTGTGCATCTGTAAGTTATAAGAAGTTGATTTCATCCATTCCTTTTTTTCCATCCCCTGCTTCCCACCTGAGAAAACAAAGTCTAGTCCATAAGTTCTCTCATTTTATACTGGAAATCTGGACAGTGTGTAATCTAGGATGGATCCAGGAGAGTGTGTTACACATTTGAAGTCAACTAAAGAAGATGGTGAAGAAGCCAGCTTATGAAATATCTCTGTTAATTGAGTAGCTGACTATACTATATCACTTTCTTCTTTAGATGTCATTAAAATATTTCTACACATACCTTAAAACTTTTTAATGGAGAATTTTTTTTCTTCAAGATAGGGTTTTGCTGGCTGTCCTGGAACTTGCTCTATAGACCAGGCTGGACTTGAACTCACAGAGATCCACCTGCCTCTGCCTCCCAAGTGCGGGGACTAAAGGCATGTGCCACCACTGCCAAGCTTCCATAGAGAATTTAACTGAAAAAATATTTTGTACTTTAATGAACTAAAACCAAAAAACCAAAACCAAAACCAAGCAACCAAACAAACAAAAAACCCAACCAACCAACCAGCCAGCCAGCCAGCCAGCCAGCTAGCCATCCAGCCAGCCAACCAACCAACCAAACAACTAACCAACAAACCAACCAACAAAACCTTATAAAAGTAGCCTGCCTTTTGGATTGAGAAATCTCATGCAGATGAGGCACCACTCCATAGGTAAATTCCAAAGGTTTAGAATTATGTTCTCTTCCTTGAAGCATAATTATTTCAGAAAGCTCTTGGTATATATCTGAGAAGTTTAGTGTACAAAGAGCAAGACAAATGACCTATGAGCTTACTGTATTTCTTCTTCTCTAGCTAAAATGTAGAGAATCTACTAGTATGCATGAAAATATAGAGACAAATGTAAACAAGTTGATTATCTGATGTCAGATAAGGCGAGTCTTAAAGTACCATGATGAATATTTTACCAGCAATTTCAGTTACCTGTTGTGAGAACACTTCCCGATTTGAGATAGTAGCTACGGTAAAGGAATAATTCAAAGTCAATTTGGTAGTAAATTCACACTTTTTAAAAAGTCTTTTATTGCATTTTATTTGTTTTATGTGCAGATTCATATGCCATGGATGCCCGTGTCATGGTGTATAAGTGTAGTGATCAGAGAACAGCCTCCATGGTTTGGTTTTCTCATTTCTTCCTGTAGGGCCTAGAGATAAGATTGAACTGGTCAGGCTTTGCAGCAGGCACCCCTATCTGCTGAAGCATCTTGTTGACACCCTAAATTCACACTTTTTTGAAATTTAATTGTTCATTTTATGAAATATAGTTTATTTGTTGACCTGCCAAGGACTAAAATTTCTTTATATTAGGAATTATCTTGTAAGACAACTCTCTTCATACTGAAACTACCCTGATGCTGTTGGCCATGTTCTCCATGCACAGCCTTATCTATAACTTAGGGTGTGTTATTTACATATTCATAGTAGTGCACACATTATAAAACTCAGTTGCATTTTATTTTGAGTGTAAGTTTCATGCACTTGATTGAGAATTGATTGCATCTTAGGTGTCTATTTCTGTGCTGGGAGATAAAAGAAAGTTGCCAAAAAAATAAAACAAAATAAAAAACAGTTGCCTCTGGTCTTAAAGAGAATTTGTGTTGATGGGAAGCAGAGAAAAACAGAGAACTAAAGCAGAATGTGTTAAGTGCTGACATGGACAGTATAGAAATTTGAATTTGGAGAATGAACCACTATGAACCTTACTCATTTCAACAATTATTAACTCTCGGTTATGCCTCATTCCCCCACATGCTTAGTCTTTGCTCCCTTTCATTTTTTGAAGCCTATCCAAGACAATGTATCATGGGATAGGCACTTTTAGATATTTGAATAGAGTGCTTTCAGAATGCACTGGGAAAATAAACTAATATACCCAAGATTTTAGAAAGAATCTGTAGAAGAGAAAACAGTTGAGTTCAGTCTAGATGTGGAGGAAGATGTTCTAATTGCAGGTGACAGAATGGGACCAGCAGTTATTGAAATGTTAAGTCTTTATGTGCATAGTGCTTTTTTGTTTCTCGGAAGTGGGCACCTGAAGTATCATTTACTAAGAAGTGACTTTGCCTTAGAACTTTGTTTTTGTGATACTGGGGTTGAACCTAGGGCTTTGTGCATGGAGGCAAGTGTACTACCACTGACTACCACCTCTTGACTAATTCACGTTCAATTTTGGTAAACTAGAATAACACCTAAGTAGTGGTAATGACTAATCTGTTCTTTTCGCTTCAATGACTTTGCAGACTTTGTACATTAGAATCTACCCCCTGAAAAGTCATCCATTCTTTTATAAGAAGAGCGAGTAGCAGCCATTGTTTGTCATCTTTATTTTTGTCTTCAAAAGAGGAAGGATAGTCAGTTCTGAAACATTGTTAGTAGGTAGAAATTAATGATTTGAATCAAAACCCTCTTCATAAATCAGAGGAGAAAAACCCTCAACCATTGCATACATGGAGGTTCCTGAGGGACTTTTTGGTAAGTTATCCTGTGAAATCCTGAAGGTTTCATCATATAGTATTGTCTCGTTTTTCCTGTTATGAAATGGGCTTTTCAGCATGATTTTTCTTGTCTGTTTCAGATCACAGAACTGTGTGGTGCAAAGCGGGTTGGTTATTTTGGTCCAACACAGTTTTATGTTGCTCTGAAATTGATTGCTGCAGCACAGTCTGGCCTCCCAGTGCGGACAGAGAGTATTAAATGTGGTGAGTAGCACACGTTTATATGTTTTATCATCCACAATAGGTTTCTTATTTGTGTGAACTCTTTTTGGTGTGTCTAAGGTCTGTTCTGTAAGTTTTTGTGAAATTTCTCCTAGCTTTCTCTACCTTCAGTGTTAAATAAAATAAGAAAACTCATCAGGTAGCTTTGGTTTCTTTTTTTTATTTTTAAGTGGGAAAAAATTCACAGAGTGACCTAGGATTAGTTCCCTTCAACTGGCCATTAAGATAGCTTTTGTTCTTTAGTGAGACGGGATTGGGACAGCAATTCTCCAGCCTGTGTCAAAATAATACCATTCAGTTTAATTTTCCACTTGAGGTAGCAGTAACATCATTTAGGGCTCTGTTAGGGATTAGGATGGCATAATAAGAAAGGTACATGGAACTGGCTGTCTCTTTCTCTCTTCTATTCCTATCTGCTCACCTTTTAATTCCGTGTTCCTGCATGAACTGTCTTAATGACTTTGGGTTACCAAGATTTTGCCAGAATTAATGTACATTTTAATTAATGTACATTTTAATGTCCTTTTTTTTTGTCCTTTTCCATGTTGGGATGGAACCCGGAATATCTTGTGCATATTAGACAAGGATTCTATCACTGAACGACATCTTTAGCCTTCTTGGAGTTCTGAAAATCTAGGGGATGGTACATGGAGAAGTTGTCATTCTAAACAAAATCAACTAGTATTCAGAGTCCCTGGAAATTCCTGAGGAAATTTTGCAGAAGTTCTTTTGGGCTCCTTGTCACCCACCTCAGTTCCCTTGCCATCTGGAAGGCTCTAAACACAAAGTGAAAATTCGAGGAATTTGTATTTCATTAGCCTGGCGTCCATCCAGAGCAGGAGGACTTTTGAGAGCATTGTATGATTCTTACATGGAACCAAGGTTGAGAAGAACTTCTCATGAAAGTCATGTGAAACATTTCTAAGAGATTTGCTTACAGTACAAATACATGTTTTACTGTATTGGTACATAGGACACATCATTTAAGAGAACACTTAATGTTAGTATTGTTTAAGTGCTAAGTATGCATTTACATGACCCTACCCGTTAATGCCTCCCTAATGTTGGTACTAAGTGTTGTGGTATCCTCACCCTGGTTGCAACTGGAGTTACTTGGTGGGTGGGAAAACAACTTATGGAACAGAGAGAATTCCTGTTATCTTTCCTTTCTGGGGACTGAACTTGTGCATGTTTGAGACAAAGAGAGAGTTAGATAGGATGCAGGGTTGGGTTCTTAGCCTTTTTGTTAGTGCCACAAACCATTTTGGCAAATTGAATCCTTCTTGGGCTTATTTATTTTTCTTTTAGGGTCCTCAAAGTCAAATTCAGGGCCTTGGGCATAGTAAGCATATGCTTTTCTACAGAGCTCTACCCCAGCCCAGAACAATGCTTCACATGTGTACAAAGACATAGGATTATAAAGGAAACCAATTATATTAGCATGTCCATAACTATATATGTAATTCTTTATTAAACGATCCCATAAAAGATACCACAGTGGTTGAAACAGCTACCATACCTGCAGAGTAGTAATGAGCATGTATAATAAATACACCCAAGCTGTTTAGAGCTGTAATGACATAAAAAAGTTTGGAAAGTTGCAAGTACTGTGAATGATGGCATAGGAGTTTTCATGCTTAATGGAAATAAAGGCTTTCACTTCAGTTAGGAGTTAGGATAGGGGAAATACAGTTGTGGGGTTTCCCGCTCTTTTCCAGGTAACAACCCCTTGTTTTCTTTTCTACAGCCCCCTTGGGATCTGAGCCCCAGTAGTGCACTGGTGTGATTCCTACTGTCCTCAGGATTGTGTTTCTCCAAAATAGCTCATGCTCTGTTGGTAGTCTGGCACTATTTGTAATGAAAGGAGAGAGAACTAGGAAGAAAGATGAGTTTTTTATAGCATGAATGTGTTTAATTCTGAGAGTTTTTCCACTATTGTTAGATGTTCTTTTAGCAAACATAATGAATTATGGTTTTGGATAAAACTCTTTGTTGTTGTATTTTGAGGCTGGTTCTTACGTTGTAACCCAAACTGGCCTTGAACTCATGGCTATCCAGCTGCTTCAGATTCCCAAATGATGCCAGGCTCACAATTCTTGGAAAAGTAAAAATTTTGCAACTTTATGCTTGTCTGTGGTGAGATGGTAGTTTTTTTTTTCTGTTCTGTGAAATTTCGAAATGTGTGAGCCATGCTATAATTTCAAACCTACCACTACAGAGATCCTTAGGCAAATTATTTCACCCATGGTTCCTTGCTGGAAAATGGCCATTCTCAACCCATGTCTGCCAACATTTTTGGTTGTCATAACTGTAGAGAGGATGTTACAGGCATCTAGTGTAGGTAGAATGAGATGGTACTAAATGTCCTGCACTGTATGGAACAGGGCCCCTTCCTCCGCAATAAAAAACTGTTCAATCTAATAGGCAAAAAAAAAAAAAATGCTGACATTGAGAAAGCTGCTTGAAGGTGAGAGGCAAGCCTTTTTCGGCATGGTGAGGGTCCTGCCGCCTCCCTAGATCCTGAGGGAGGTGGAAAGGTTTTGAAGCAGTGACTCTTGTTTCAGTGGCTTTGCCCCTCTTCACACAGAACTATCTTATCCAAGAAAAACAGAAGCAGAGATTCTCTGGTCAAACTGAGAGGGTTGGGGGAGGGGTAGTCTCTGTTCTCTGCTTATTTGGTGAACCTTCTTTATCTTTGAAAGCTAGAAGATAAATTTTTTGAGTGGGACAACCAGTTTGGTGCTTTGTAGAAAAGAGAACTCCTTAAGGTGGGTGGGAAAGGATGGTCAGGGGTGAAGTGAAGATCCCAGAAAGTATGGATGTGGCCAAGTGATCCTGGTGTGTGTGTGTGTGTGTGTGTGTGTGTGTGTGTGTAATTCCTTCCCTGAGCAGAGGACATTTGAATACTAAATATTGTTTTGAGATTTCCCATTAAGCTGAGGTCAATTCAGCCTTTCTACCTAATACTCATCTCAATTATTTTCCTTTTTAAAATTCAGTGGCTCTTTTAGCAATTTCCTTCATACCTTCTCTCCTTCTCAGCCTTCCTATGGGGGAGCTAGAGCTGCTTTGGACAAATTCCCCAGTGCACAGCGCTTCCCTACTGTATAGCTGACCAGTTCTGTTTTCTAGGCATTTTACCTCTTTACACATACATATGGTCCTCATCTCTTTTGCTGCTTGCTCCCTTCCCAAGATTGTGTTCAACATTATGAGCAGTGTTTTTCACATTTATTCATTCATTTATGCTTATTACATGATTCTTTGACAGAATCTTTGATTTTTAAAAAATATTAAAATTACATTGAATGCATGTGTGTGTGTTTGTACAGGTGATTGTGCATACACGCCACAGTATTTGTGCATAGGTCAGAGGACAACTTTTGGGAGTTGGTTCTTCTACCACATGCGTCCCATGGATTAAGCTCAAGTTGTCAGGCTTGATGACAAGCATCCTTATACACTGAGTCATCTTGCTGGTCCATCTTTGATTCTTTTATCTAGCAAAAGCTCTGGATCTTGCCAGGACAGGAAACTACACATCGATAGTGTGAAAAAGGAGGAAGGGGACTGGGAAAGAACATGAAAGAAAATTTGATATTTTAATTTATGTATTGGTTCTCCCTTCCCACCCTGGCTGTGGCACACACACACACACACACACACACAAGTCAAAACTCTTCAAATGATGTGTATAAAGCATACCTACATACAACATATCCTTTGATTATTTGAGGAAGACTCACTTGTTGCCGTATACCATTATAAGCGTTCTTAGTAAGATCAGATTTCTGAACACAATGACCCATATTTCCTTGTGGCTTATCTATTACAATATGGTAACCAATAGCCATGTGTGTCTGCTGAACACTTGAGATATGGTAAGCATTGAGGTGTGCAGTAGGAGTAAAATATCCATGTGAGTTTGAGGGGTTTTCACTAAAAACAAATGTAAACTATTTCATTGAGATATGTTTATATTTTGACTGTGTTGGGAATCAAATATGAGCACAGTAGGCAGGGTACTTATGCCCCTGCTATGCTATCTCAACAATTTTCATATGTCATATGGGGGTTAAAATAATTAAAATTAATGTGGCTTTTTTTTTAGACGGGGTTTTTCTGTAGCTCTGGCTATCCTGGAACTTTATCTATAGCTCTGTAGACCAGGCTAGCCTTGAACTCACAGAGATCCACCTGCTCTGCCTTCCGAGTGTTAGGATTAAAGGTGTGTGCCACCACCATCACCTGGCTTAATTTAACTTTTTAAAATTTCATCTAAAAGTCAAACTTCTTGTTATAAACTTCATATAGTGTATAGTTTCCCATCTTAACCATTTTATGTGTTAAATTCAGGAGTGTTAGGTCTATTCATTTTGTTATACATGCATTTTCTAGAAATTTCCCACCTTACCTTGTAAAATTGAAAGTCTGATTAAACAACTACACATTTCCCCTTCACTCCTTATCTCTGGCAATCACTCTTTATTTTTATGCTTGTATGCATTTTACTACTCTTGATGTAAGTGGAATCATCGCTATTTGTTTCCTATGACCAACTTATTTCACTTTGATTTTTTTCTTTTTTGTGCTTTCTCTCTCGCTCTGTGTATGCATGTTGCATATATGTAAGTGTCTGTGTGTGCACACATGTAGGTCCATATCATCTGTCATTTTCTATTACTGTCCACTCTATTGATTTGAGACAGGGTCTCTCATTGAACTGGAAAATGCTTGCTCTTTCAGCTAGACAGGCTGGTAAGCATCTTATTGGAATGTCCCTGTCTCCTTCCATAGTGCCAGAGTTACAGGCATGCATAGCCATGCCCAGGATTTTACATAGGTTCTGGGGATTTGAAATGATTCTGTAGATGTGCTCATAAACAAGGTAGGGGAATGTGTGAAGTGACAGTATCCTTAAGGGTGTCTGGCAGTCCTGGTACAGCTGCTAGCATTTGTAATGTTACACTTGTATTCCTTTGTTCTCTGGTCCAAATGTTAGTAAAGCACTGGCCAGGGACCTTATAAATCCCAAGAATCTCTTGGTGTTTTTCTTGAAGAAATCCTTGAAGTAGAGTTATTTTTTCATGGTTGGACCAAGGTAGAAAATATTTTGTATATTCTTGTCCTATGTTTTAGGTTGATCTCGCAGACTGAGCTGAAAGACAGCTTTCTGCTGAGAGAATCACAGGACTGGCTTCTGTGTGATTCATTAGGACTCTGGAGTTGTTCTTTACCTTTTTGTGCAGGTCCTCATGTCTGCAGAGAAAGTGCCCTTATCCACTGGCTGCTGAGCAATCTCCCCAGCGTTAGCACTTAAAAAGCATTTCTAGGGGCCTGGAGAGATAACTCAGCAGTAAAGAACACTTTCTGCTCTTTGTTTGTCGTGTGTTAATTAAGTTTGGAGACAAGATTCTAAGCAAATACTACAAAAGGACCTTCTGTGATTGTTAGGGAAGGGTAGCTCACTTGCTCCCCCCCCCAAGATGGGGAAGTTTAGGGTAGGGGGTGGGTTATGCCTTTCATATCCTGTAATAGGTGGGAGCTGAGGGGTGCAGGGAGAATGTGGCAGCCATCATGCATTCTGATATGTTGAATATGCACCTCAGCCATTTGTCCTGGGTTTGAGACCTAACAGAAATCACTGTCTTAGGGTTTCTGTTGCTGTGACAAAAGAACCAAAAAGCAAGTTGGAGAGGAAAGGGTTTATTTGGCTTCCACTTCCAAATCCTAGTCAACGGAGGAGGTCAGAACAGGAACTCAAGCAGGGCAGGATCCTGGAGGCAGGAGCTGATGCAGAGGCCATGGAGGAGTGCTGCTTGCTTCTATAGCTTGCTCAGCCCACCTTCTTCTAGAATCCAGGACCACCAGCCCAGGGATGGCGCCACCCGCCATGGGCTGGGCCCTCCCTCATTGATTACTAAATGAGAAAATGCCCTACAGCTGGAACTCAAGGAGGCATTTCCTCAGCTGAGGCTCCTTCCTCTGATGACTCTAGCTTGTGTCAAGCTGACACACAAAACCAGCTAGTATACTCGGCATATATCACTGTATTGTAGGTGCTTTATTACTTTTCTAATATAATTTCACCATTGAATTCAGTGTACATATAACAAAGAAGAATATTCAGACCAAGGATTTACAGGGTTTACCTTTTTAATAGTCGAAGCTGCTTTAGGGAGATGATAGTGTCATGGTAAGGTACGTGGCTACAATTTTGCTAAGTGAAAGTTGATTAAAAATCACAGGGCTGAAGAAAGTATAGAAGAATGCAGCTGTATTTTGTCTTTCACAGTTTGGTGTCCATCTGAAGGCGTAAGCTTGTTTCCTAGGCAAATGATGCTGGAGAAATGCCATAACCCAATGGAAGAATGTGTGAAGTGACAGTATCCTTAAGGGTGTCTGGCACTCCTGGTACAGCTGCTAGCATTTGTAATGTTACACTTGGATTCCCTTGTTCTCTGGACCAAATGCCAGTAAAGCACTGGCCAGGGAGCTTATAAATCCCATGCATCTCGATGTTTGTCTTGAAGAAGCACTCGAATGGTCTCATGGTCAGGCCAGAGTAGAGAAAGTATTTTGTATGCTCTTGTCCTATATTTCTAGATCCATTTATGAGGCACAGCTGAAAGAGATAATTCTGTGAGCAGCACCACAGGACTGGCTTCTGTGTGACTCACTGACACTCGGGACTTTTACCTTTTCCTTTTGAAATCCATTTCCGCCTTCAGTGCTGGAAAACTGCCCATGGCTGGGAAACATTAAAGTATTAAAAATGGTGACCATCTTTCTTTAGAGAGGAGTCTCGATTTAAGTTTCCAGATTGATTTATCTCTTTGTGTCTTGGGCCCTTAGCTGATTGATCCCACGGGGACTTGTCATAATTGCCCATTCTTTGAATCAAATGTGAACATAGCAACTAAAAATAAACATGTGGATATTAGAGAACCAGGGGCCTTCTTTGCCTGGGGAGTAGCATACTTGCTGTTGCTAAGATGTTTCCTGGCTCTAGCACAGCATCCACCATTGGAAGCACAGCTGTGTTTTTGGAGTGGACGGATGACAGAAGTGCAAATGCACACTGGGAATTATCCAGAACAATGGCTACAGATGCAAATCATTATGCCTAATCCACAATATTATCCTTATGTGGTCTTTGTGTCATGTGCTTATGTGTGACTTGCTGTGTTGAGAATTAGAAGCATGCCAAAGCACCATTTTCATTTTCAGAATAGTTATGTCAGAGTTTAAAAGATAAGTAAATATACCAGACAGCTCTTTGTCGCACCGCGAGTGGCCAATGGTTTTGTATTTAGAATCTGGCTAAATGTTAGAGCAATTGATCTGACTTCATAACACTTTCTTCATTATGTTATCAACGGGCAACAAGAGAATGAGTGTGAAAACTCATAAAAGAATGATATTGAGTGGGAAACATTCAACCTAGGAAGTTGCCCCAAGAAGGTAGGGATAGACATTAATATAGGGCACTGGTAAGAACCAGCTTGCTTGGGTTCAAACTGTTTCTTGTCCAGAGATTAGTTGTGTGCTCCAGGGGGACTTTATGTAGCTTCTTCACACCAGCTTCCACAGCTGTAAAGGGAATTGCTAATGCTAGTTTATCTTATAGAATTGCCAGGAAGATAGATGGGTTGGTATTTGCAGGCCTCTAACACTGCATCTGGTGTATTTAAGCATTTGTAAGCTTTGCTGGCGATTGTTGCCTCTTGTTTTGATAAAATTCACATCCTTTTTCTGCAGGATCAAGTGGGAGCTAGTCCCCAACCCGAATTTATCCTGTGATGATTCAGCAGAGTGGAAAATGCTAAGGAGGAATAGCTTGGTTAAGCATTGCATTTTTTTCTCATGACGTTATTCTAGGAGTCTCCATTGTGCCTCAACTCAAATTTAAACTTTATTTAGTGTTCTGAAAATTTCCCTCAAAACTGATTTCTTTTTGGCCATTGAGTCCCCCTTTTTGTAGTTTTAAGATAAAGCCTCACTTAAGCCTTTCTGCTTCTACTCCTAAAGAACTGCCTCTGCCTCGCTTTGTGATGTCAAAGAGTGATGCTGAGATACGGTTTGGGAACGCAGCTGAGCTGCACGGAAAGAAAATTCAGGTTCCATACTTAACCACCGAAAAGAATTCCCTCAAAAGAATGGACGATGAGGATAAACAGGTGAGAGTGGGGGTCGGCATGCTCATTCGATTCTGACCATGACGCCTCGTGAATCACAGCCTCTGGTCTCTTGCCAAACTTCCAGCAAATCTTGCCATCTGGAACACAATTACAGATTTGGAAGTGAGCCAGGAAAGTTTTCTTGTAGCAAGAAGAAGCTGACACATAGGAATTACTGCTAGCCACCCACTGGCCCTTTAGAATTTACCTTAGTATAGAATTGTGCCTCAAACAGTGCTGTTGATTTAATACACTTATTTGATTTCTCTAGGTCAATGGTTTTTAAATAAGTTCATTAACATGTAACTTCTAGAACAACGTGGAAACAAAGAACAACGCTAAAAATCAAAGAGAAGAAATGTAGTTTCTAAGAGTTAGCAAGTGTTCCCCTCCAAAAAGAAGCCCCAAATGATTCTCTGATTAAACATGTTTGGGAAGTATGCCCGCCCTCATGTTCCATTCGTAGGGGAAAGACTAAGTCATCAGCCTTGGAAATTAAGAGGGCACATCGACAGGCAGGTTCTATTGGAAAGAGGCCTGGAGAACTGTCTTTACCAAGCTCTTATTACCAGGGAATCCTTTCTTGGGAAACATATGTGGAATGGCATCTCAGTAAATGCTTTTAGCCACTTAGCAGGCTTGAAAGCCGAGTATGGAGGATGAGCTTTTCTAATCGGTTTTCACATTAGTAAACCCCAAGGACATCATGCTACAACTCATGCTGCTGATAAAGAGCCGTGCAGAGAAGTCAGGTGATATTCAGTACTGCCTTCTGTAAGGTAAAGGAACATGCTATATTTTAGGAAGAATTAAATCAAGATGTTTTTAAAATGCAATAAATATTAAAGGGTTATAGTAAAAAATAACATATGGCTTACTTTGATGGTCTTGGATAATCAAGGTTTCAGGTTTATTTTTTGTTTTTGTTATTTTTTTTACACAAGGTTTCTCTATATAGCCCAGGCTTGCATCAGGCTTACTTGGTTTTCCTGCCTTCTGAATGCTGGGGATTACAGGTGTTCCTCTTTATACCTGGCCTGAATTTTACATTTATAGTTAAAAAAGGCATAGCTCATTCTGTTAAACAACTCCACGTAATGTTACTTTAATCATTTAAGTGGTATGTTAGAGAGACATAGGAATTTGTACTTAGTATATTTTGGTATGTGTCTATACCAGCATTTAGAGCATTCCTGTCCCACAGTGGCAGATTTCCTGGGAAGTTTTCAGGTGTAATCTCTTATCTCAGATTGCATATTTGTTTTTAAATTAAAGAGGCCAATATAGTCTCTGTGTTATAAAAAGCACCATTTCCCTGTTCTTTGTACCCCATACTTATATTCTACTGGTAGTGGGAAAAAAGGAGGAAAGCCAGCAGCAGGCTCAGGTTGTTATCTGGCGTAGAGTCCTATATCAGGTTCATGGTTGAGTTAGGATTCCAATTGTACTTATGAGGGCTTCATCTCAGTATTATGGGGTATACTAGATGGGTGGCTATATTTTGGAGTCTCTCTATATGAAACAAACCACTCCCCAACATATAATTTTGTGTAGTAAGCTCCAAGAATACCCACCATTAAACACTGAAAATGTAAATTTTATTGCATATTCTGGATTTATATAAATTCAGTAAATAGGAGTCTTAAAAAGGAAGACTCATTAATTCATTAATTGAATGAAAATGGAATTGGTTCACAATTGAGGGATATAAATGTTCTCTTTTGTGATCAGTGTCTTTCATTTTCCAAAGGAAAATACTATTGACCTAACAGAAAACATTTTAGGCTGGTATTAGTAATTTGTTAGTACAGTAATAGTGATTTGAATCGTCAATGCTCCTCTTTTGCTTTGCTGCAGTTTTGAGGAAACGTTTCTCCCCATTTGTTAAACAAGCCAAGTCACCAGTCATAGAGTCACATTTTGCTTCTTAAACTGCAGCTCAGAATGCCAGGCTTCTCCAGTGGTTGCCTCTGAACTGTGCTCTGGTTCTTTGTAGCAGGAAACACAGTCTCCCACGATGTCACCCCTCGCCTCCCCTCCTTCTTCCCCGCCTCATTACCAGAGGGTGTCCTTGAGCCATGGCTACAGCAAACTGCGGAGCGACACAGAACAGATGCATCCAGGTAAGAGGCGACCAGGGGGCCAGCTGTCACAGGCAATGTCTTAGAGTCTTCTTAATCTAGCAGACGGCAATGCCACCAGCTGCTTAATTTCCTGATTTAATTACTCTTGTCTTTGGAAACATTGCTCAATTTCTTTTTATATTCTCAAGTAAAGTTTTTTTTTTTTTAAAAAATGAAATTAAGCATATCTCAGCAATGCTTTGTTTCTTTGCCTGGAAACTGGTTCGTCTTTAGACTTGTAAACAACTATTTAGATGATTTAATATTTCATATACAAAATCCATTAAAGGAATGTAGGATGCTAAGGGCTTGCATTTTTGAGAATTGTTATTCCCTTCTGCAAGAACACTAAACATATTTACTCAATAATTGTTTTTATGAAAATTCTTTAAAAATTATGCAAAAGCAAGAGAGTTGATTCAATATTTAAAGGCCAGGGAGATAAATGAAAATATTGAGCTTTTATGTTTTAGGGTAAAGATAAGGGAAATGCTCAGGGTAGCGTTCTGTTGAGAATCATGCAGTATGCACAGTTATGGGGCTGTCTGCTTGCTCATATTTATGCTCTTCTGGTCATTTCAGGGGTAAAATATATGAGGTGGTTCTCAGGATGACTTGCAGTTGGCTGCCCAGGCTGCAATGTGTGAAGTCCCATAAATTCACTGCAGCACTGTGTCCTTCTGTGCTTCACACTTCTAGTTTCATATATGATCGACTGAATGTATTCTAGAATAGAATGTCCTATAGCCCCCTGCCCATTTTGTGGGATGTGGTAGAAATGACCCAGTTTCTACAGGATTTTGCTGCATTGAAAAAAGACAGTGACTTGTAGAGGGTCACAGAAATACAAAGCTATGCTAGGCTGAGCTACAAAGGGCTGTCCTTTTGCCGAGAGAAGCAGGTAGGACGTGATGGAGAGAGCTTTGCGTTAGAACCAGAAGGTTGGGTTCAGCGTGACTTTAGGCAAGCTATTGAGCTTCTATGAACCATATTTTTTTATTTTCAAACAATGATAAGGGTGTTAGAAGTATTCAGTGAGAATATGAGTATAAGCTCAGTTAAAAGTTGCATCCTATGCAATACAAGATGGTGTTCCTAATGGCTAGTAAGAAAATCATTCTGAAAATCAGCTGTCTCATTGGTGTCTGAAGCTACACAGGGTTAAGACATCTCCATTCTCCTCTTGCAGTTTCCATCGTGTGATTTGCCTTTTTCAAAGAAGGGGAATAGTTTCTCCTATTTCAAATCTAATTTGGGCTTAAAAATTAATGTTCAGTTCATAGGTAAATCTATTTGTGGTCTATTAAGTCAGCATATCATTAAGTTCTTCATTTGATAGTCCTTGTTTGTGTCCTCTGTTTCCTGCCCCCTTCTCTCATCCTGTCCTAAGTGAGCTCCCATCCCTGCAGCGCTGAAGAGACTATCTACTTCCCTCTTTTCTGGACTCTGAGGAGTGGATACCTAGGCTCCACTATTCCTTATTCCTCTTTATACTTGCTTTAAAGTGGCAAAAATCTATGTATGATAAAATGAACATATTTTAAGTAATTAATTTGAATTTTTACAAGTGGATATACTCATTTAGTTATAACTGAGATTAAAAAGCATTACCATTGCACTGTAGGTGCCCCTTCCAAGTTCCTTCCTGCCTTGAAATGCAGCACTGTAATGGTTTTTATCATTGTCAGTCAGTTTTATTCCTTCTAGAACTTCATGCAAGAGGAAATAGGCAGAATGATTCTACTTGTGTCTGCTGTCTTTCCCTCAATATAACAGTCAAAATCCATAGGATGTGTTTGTAGTTCCTTTCACTTTGTCATTCAGTAGTTTTCATTGCATGAATAACCACAGATTAATGGTCCTTCTCTTGTTGATAAACATTTGGGTGTTTTGTAGTGTTTGACTGTTATGAATAAGGATACCATAAATATTTGTTCTTGAGTATTTTTGCGACTTAGGCTGCCATTTCTCTGACACTTAGGAGTGGAATCTTTGGGTAGGCGTGTGAAAACACCCACAGTTCCGCTTTGATACTGAACTTCAAAGGGGTGGAAATCTTGAGGGTTTTAAAAAAATAGTCATTTCTTTAGAGAAAGATGATGTGTCTACTTCCATATAAAACCTCTTGTAAAGGAATTGAGGGGTTATTTGGTTTGCTTTTGAGTTGTGTGTTTTGGGTTTCATTTGGGAAGAGAGTTGAAGCAGTAAGTAATATGTACCCTTTTCCTGAGTTTAGACTGAGTAGTAGTAGACACACCCTCTCTTTTATGGGAAGCATGGATCCATGATTTCATTAGCACTCCTGAGCAATAGGATCCTAGCCATGCAAGCTTACTGTGCTTAAAACTGTTTGGTAATGTTCAGTTGGTATGAAGAGCTTAATGTGGTTCCATCAACATGGAATGATTTTTTGAAAAAAGCATGTCAGAGGACAATGCCTGCCTACAATTTCAAAAATTATTTTTGAAGGCTTGGATCATGTGCTCTCTATGAATTTTTCTTTTGTAGTATTTACATTTGTATCTACTCCTAGCAGGTTCGAAAATACACTAAATGTGTTGCTAGGCAATCATTTACATATTTTAATGTATTATAATTTTGTTTTCTAATTGCTAGGAAGAAATACAAAATAGATGTGAGCCTGAATGCTTGTTTCCTTCCATCCTTCCTCCCTCACTCCCCCCTTCCCTTTCTCTATGTCTCTTTCTTTCTTTTGTTCTTTTTAAGAGCACCAGTCTGGCCTCCTGCCTGCTAAGCTTACAGGTGTGTATCACAATATCTAACTAGTTTGGTGTTCTTGACATGCTATTGCTGTACCTTCTTTATTTTAAAAAGATCAAACTATGCTAAATATGGCACCATAACAGCCACCTCTGTTCTCCGCCCAATTTTATTTCTAAGTAAGTTACAGAAAGAAGCACTTTTTATATTTATATATTTTAAACCTCAAAGTGTCAGCCCACAGAGATGAAAAATAGTTTCATTTTGGGTAATGATTTCTCCTTTCTGTTGGAGCTGGTTATATTTAATTGTCTTACTACCATACTGGTAAGGTCATTATTATATGTTCTGGAAATAAAAGGAATAAAAAATAACATTCACTTTTGTAGCTTAGAAACTTATTTTAAAGGTTGTATAAAGGTAGAAAAATGATTTATAAATGTTTTGCTTATTGATTAATAGAATAATAATCATGTAATACATTTACGCATTTTTATATACCTGCTTTTGCATTCTGTATAATAAAGAAGATAACAATTTATTTTTATAATAAACAATAATGTTGAGTTCATATTAATTTTCTTTGGGGTTATATAATGAATTGAATACATTTAAATAGGGAAGCAAATATAAATCATAACTAGATTTGACATTTATACTTTTTAAAAGAATTAGAAGACTTACTTTTTGCTCAAAAGTTTTAGCTTTTAGTTGTAATTTTTTGTGCGTAAATGTTTTGCCTGCACTTATGCCTGTACACCAAGTATATGTAGTGCTGGTGGAGGCCAGAAGAGAGCATTGGATCTCCTGGGACTTCTAGGTGGGTGTGAACCACTATGTGGGTGCTGGGAATTGAACCTGGGTCATTTAAAAAAGGAAACAGTATTCTTAACCACTAAGTCACCTCTCCAGCCCTCAGAAAATTTAATTTTTTTAAAAAAATCTTCAATGCAAAATAAAAATCTGAGGAAACTCTTTCCCTTTTTCTATGGAAAGAACTCATAAATATGGACTGCAGGGAAAGGTCTTCATTTAAAATGATACCCTTTGTGTTTGGTAAAGAGAACTGACTGCTCTTCCAGCAGACCTGGGTTCAGTTCCCAGCACTTACAACTGTCCATAACTCCAGCTCTTGGGGACCCAATTTCCTTTCCTGGCCTCCATGGGAACCATGCACACACACATGTTATAGAGACAAGCATGCAGGTAAAACATCCAAACACTTAAAATAAAATAATACTTTTTAATACGTGTAGATGATATATATAAGCATCAGGCCAACCTTAAATAGGCAGTGTACTCCTCAATCCATCCAAAATGTGTAGTGTAGTTCCTGTACTTAATTGGGAGGGATGAAATGTGCACATTCACCCCGGGGAAAACCTTTTCTGGATTCCTGAGTTTTATACTTGATGCCCAGTTGAGGTTTACCTTTCCTAATTCTTTTTTTTTTAAATCCAATGCTATTATATCCTTTTACTTTTCTCTCCCCAAATGAATGTAAATTGGTTTGAGTATAGAATGAAATTGGTAAGGAGAAACTGCTATCTGAATTCATTGCTTTTTAAGTGATAGAAGTTTCAGTGAGAATAATGCATGGCATGCTTCAGTTTTGATCCCACTGGAAGAAAAGATTTAGGAAGTCAAAAGAGTCCACCAGCCATCCTGGCAAAGTACCCCCATTTCCTAGATGGAGTCATATGGCTGGGGCTGCTGATCATTCACATCAGGCCTTTGTTTAATTCTGACCTACAGCCAGTGTTCATTTTAGGCCAAAGTCACATCCTTCAAAACCATGAATGAACACAAAAGTGAGCCCCACTACTTCAGAGCATGGTCCAAGTTACCACAAGAAGCAGGAGTAAAACATGAATATTTGTAATGTGGCATGTTTCTAGCTATTGATTCGCTCTTTCTGAATGTTATTGAGGAGTTCACTCTTTTGCTCTCTCATTTTATGCCTAATCTTAACCTGGTGTGAGTTTAGTATTATCATGATATTGGTGAGATGGCTTTAGATTATTTGGTGAAATTATAGAGGCAAGAGGATCAGGATTTGTGAGTCTCAGGCAGCTCTCAGATTATACACTGCAATTCCTTTATTACCCTTTCCTTGAAAACCACATGCTACATCAGTTTGAGTGTGAAATCATAATTTTGGAGTAGAATTTTTGTTTACCTGGCTAGCATTCTCTCTTGTTTTTTAGCCTCTTATGAAGCTAGGCAGCCCATTGGCCAGCCGGAAGGATCCTCCTCAGAGGGTCCAGGATCCAAACCCCTTCATTGCCAGACATCTCTTATTCGGGTAAGTTATGATGTGGGCCTGCATCAGTGACAGAAGTGGGCAAAATTTTGTGCTGTGGAAATACGGCATTTAGGGTGGAGATAGGACTCAGAAGGTAAGAACATTTACTGCTCTTGCAAAGGATCAGTGTTTAGATCCTAGTACCCACATTAAGCAACACACAACTCCAGCTCCAGGGAGTCCAATACCTTCTTCTTGCTTCCATGGTACCTGCATGTATGTTCATATATCCACACACAGACACACATGCATACACATACTTAAAAGTAAAAACAACTCTTATAAAGAAAATCCTGAAAGAAATATGGCATTTTAAAGTATTGAGTATTTTATAGCTAGCATACAAAGTAATGGACTTCTTTTTAACATGTTTTTTCTTCTTTTGGTTGGGTGAGACAGGATCTCACTAAAATGATGTCAAACTCCCTGTGTATCTGAGGCTGATTCTGTTGTCTCCGGTTTCTGACAGCTGAGATATCAGGCATGGGTCACTGCGCCTGGCATCACTATAACATTTCATACATATATAACATACTTTGTATCTCCCCCATGACCCTTTCCTGTCCTCCCCATCCTTACTTACTGATTGTCTTCCTCCTCCCAAATCATCCATTCTTCTGCTTTCCTGTCACATGTATTTCATTGTTTTCTAATGAGGAGCATAGCTTTTTGATCACTCTCTATTCTGTTGTGAGAAAGGTATAAAACTACTTCATCATTCAAACATTGCATTTTTTCTTTTGCTTGTTTATTTTCTTAAATCTTTTCTACTTTTATCTTCTTTCAGTCTCTAGAATAAACCAGAGGTTGGCTCTTGATATTCAGTATGTCTAAGGCATCCCCACCCCTTCACCTACTTAATCATGGAACACTTTCTTCAGGAGAGCTTCATATTTCCTAAAGCAGCTTGTTTCATGTTTGCCTTATTCTTTATTATTGCTCATTGAATGCCTAATTAACTGTTTTCCATTTGCTGTGTGTCTCCAATTATGTGGCAGGCTTTTGGAAGGCTGCAGTCGTTCTGTATTCTCTCGGAGCCTCAGACAGTGCCATTTTGGTAGCAATTGGTCTGTAACTATAAGCAACTTTTTGCATGTAATAGACACAAAATATTGTCTCACAGGTTATAATGATACTCAGTTTATTCTGATTACACAATACCTTAGGTAGTTTCAGCTTCTAATTCTCCAGTGTTTTTCTTTGGGTAAAGCGCTCTGGTTTTTTCCTATGTCCATAGCTGTTGTCTTGTGTAGTATATCTAAGTTCCTTTGTAAAGAAAGTATATTATTAAAGAAAAAGTGTGTGTGTGTGTTGTGTGTGAGAGTGTGTACACGTACATGAGAGAAACTATCCAAAAGTTAGGTTTATTATGTAACATGAAGGACAAAAGGAAGTAGGTGGTGGTTTGTATAACATTTCAATTGTGGAACTCAGGAAGACGGACCATTTCTGCATAGGCAACTCTACTCAAAATAGAAGAGTGGAGCAAGACACTCCCACAGAGAAGTGAGCTAGTTTGAAAGACAGTAAACAATCTGAAGAAGATCCTCAGGTTCATGCAGTGAATGCCTTTTGGGCACAGGACACTGTTAGACATGGCACAGAACTTTAACTTGAAGCAGTGCTCTATTTGCAAAGAACTCTCTAAAAGATAGTAATAAACCATATGTGATATATGTAATGTTTCCTAGAACCATAAGCTCTAGGCACTGCTGTCTCTATTAGTATAGATGGATGACTGAGAGAGGTGAAGCAGCAAATCGAAGATTTCATTCATACCTACTATGTGGCAGAATCTGAATTTGAGTCTAGGAGAGTTCAGTGTCTGCATATTAAGCATTTAGCTCAACATTAGAGTTCCATTTTACAAGAAGGCTAGATCACATCACGAACATTAGATGCTATAACCTTCCCTCGTGTGTGTGTGTGTGTGTGTGTGTGTGTGAGAGAGAGAGAGAGAGAGAGAGAGAGAGAGAGAGAGAGAGAGAGAGAGAGAGAGCGCACAGTATATGTGCATTTGGTGCTTGGGGAGAGACCCCATGGCTTTGCCCATGCCAGGTGAGGACTCTACTACTCCACCATATCCTCATCCGGAAAGTATCCTTGAAAGTCTGTTATTTGCATAACATACCTGGCAGAAATGTGAGGAGTTCAAGGTCATTTTTGTGTACAATAGTGAGTTCAAGGTCAACTTTTAAACTCAAGACCCTAACTCAAAAAAGGAAAAAAAAGTTCTTTTTTAAGGCCATTTCAGATCAGTTGTACCCTCACGTTGGAATGGAAGGTTGTTTCTTCAGCTGAGCCCCAGATGTAGTACTTGGCTGTGTTTTAGAGATCCCATGGTAAAACAATATGTGCCTTTAAACACTAGAATCTACAAACTGGGGAGGCATGTTTGCATTAGGGAAGGGTTTGGTGGGGTTCCTCTCAAAGCTTTCTTAGGTGTGGACTGCAGGTTCCTGCAGAGTATGTTCAATTTCTGTAAAGACAAAATCTTCAATAGGTAGAAACACTGATCAAATTAGCAGTGAATCTTTGAATTCTTGGGGGTAGGGTGTGACTCATGGGACCCTTTCTACTAAGCTCCCTCAAAGCAACCCTCACTTGTATTGGTATCCTGTGATTTTTATTCTAATATCTAGGTCCCTTTCTGCCATGTAAAGGGGTAAGGATGGGGAGCAAGTAAGAAAGCAGACAGCCACATGTACAAAGACATTTTCTGTGTATATAACATTTTGGGCATATTAACTCAGTGCTCACAACTGTCTTTGGGGGTAACAGAGTAACCTCCATTTTAGATGACAAAGCCTGAGGTATATATACTTTATTGAGTTTCCCCAAGATCCCAGTTGGAAATGACATGGACTGGAATTTAAACACTGGGCACCATTCTGAATCCAGCTACTGTCTTGGGAACTGGATGGAAGATGGTAATGTCATATTAAGTGAGGAAGCACTGCACAAAAAGTGGTGCTGAGGAAAAATCTGGTGCTGTAAGTTCAGTGTTGGATACCAGGACTAGAACTTTGAGACAGCTCAGAGGAGGTGAAGGAGAGTTCTATGTTTCTATGGGTCTGGAGTCTTGGGGGAGCGCAGAGGCTGGATATAGGTGTTTGGCAACAATTGACTATTGGAAGCACAGGATAAAAACAGGCTCTGCCCAGGCCCAGCCTGACTCCACATGGCCTGGAGAAGTTCTTTTTCTTTATTTGTTACATTAACATCTTAGTGTGGATTTTGCAATATATAGCCCAGCAGTGTGCCTGTCTAATTCTCTTAATGTCTGTTCTCCTAGCACCTGTTTGAAGCATTGCCTTCTGTTCAGGGTGACAGCAAGGGGCCTTTCTTGCCCAGAATGGCAGCCTGTAGTTTTTGTGACTGGTGTATTTTCCTTTCTTCAGCGCCTACGTTTCCTTCTTATGCCTGTCAGCTTGCTTTGGCTGGACTCCATGTTATAGAAAGCAAAATGCCAGTTTGAATTAGTCATGGCGATTAGGGGATTGGAAATGAAGGTTCTTGGTGGTGGGGATTAATATTTATTTGGTACAGTGCTAAGTTCATTGGAGTGACTAATTCCCCTCATGGTGCCATGTTCCTGTGCTAATGGCAATCTATTCTCTTTGTTCTAGCTTCATTTGTGGCCTTCTATTCAGACCTTTCCTGCTTAATGACAGTGGGGTGTTGAATCTGTAGCTCAGAGGGTAAAGTGTCAGCCTAGCATAGCAAGAACCTGTGCTTGATTTCATAGCACTTCCTAAACTGGGAGCAATAGCACACAGCAGGAAGATTGGGAGTTTGGGGGTATCCCAGCCTTAGCCAGCACACCTGAACTATGTCGCGAGACCCTGACTCCAAATCACTTCCACCACCATGGAAAAGTTAGAAGGGAAAAAAAAAAGAAAAGAAAAGTTAGAAGGGGACATGAATTCTGGGTCCTAGGTTAGGCCTTTAGGGACCCATGGGCTTGGCATTTTGGAGGTGTTTATGTCAAATTAAGCTTCCAAACTTTGGAATGGTCAGTATTTTTCCTTAATATTTTAGTCACTTTTTTGTTCAAATAATAGAATTTTTCCTCATTAAAATTTCATACACCTTTTTTTGGTGGATGGTTGATGGGAGTTTTCAAAGAAATTGGGAAGTATTTTCTGTTTTACCTGTTATCAGGTCTTCAGAGGCCATTTGTGGTTTCCATTTTTCTTAAGCCCTTCTGGACATCTTGCATGTAGATTCTGGTTCTGTCCGCGTAGCATTTAGTGCTGCCCTTTCTGCTCCCACTGGGCTCTGCAGTCTGTGTTTCACCAGGGTTGTTGAAAGCTGCCCTGGGTCAAGGCCTCATCTAACTGAATTTCTTGGCAGTTTTTGCCACTGCTCTCCTTGGAGTGTTCTCACTGCTGGTGCGCATGCTACCCTACCCTCTTGGTTCTGTGGCTACCTTTGATGAAATTGTTTTGCAGTCTTTCTTCTGCCTGTCTCTAATGCAGTGACCCTTGAAATCATTTCTCACATTATTCTTTAGCTAGTAGAATCTGGTGGTGATGTTTCTCCATCTGGCAGACAGCCTTATTTTGATGACTCACTGTCACTTTGAACTGATGGGTCTTCATCACAGAACCAGCATACCTGGCTCGATCACCCATTACCAGGCATCAGAATGTTGGTCATTGTCTTTGACTCTTCCTTCATCCCTTATTGCCCATTCAGTTACCAAGTCCTGACCATTCTCTGTGCCAGACATTTGTCTGTCTGTCCTGCTTTACTTCTCAGTTCAGGCAGTCATCTCCTGTCACTGAATCTGGGCTATTAACTCATAGCCTGTCTTCTTTTAGCCATCATCCTCTTGGAGACAAAAGTGGATTCTTTTTGGAGTCAGGGTCTCACCGTGTAGCCTTGGCTGGCCTGTGATTTGTTAGAGGCCAGCCTGCCCTAGGACTCAGTGATCTGTCTGCCTCTGCCTCCTGAGTATTGAGGTGAAAGGCACTGATGCCATGCTTGGCAACAAA